CATCCACGGCATATAGACACCGTGCCCAAATAAGGGATAGAGAAGTTGACTCTATCCTAGTGATGTTACTCACGTCATATAGATTCTGTGCCCAAAGAAGGGATTAGAGTTAGACTCAAAAGTAACTTTAGATCTGGAGAAAGTACTGAAGAGTACCTACGGAAAATTGCATTGTTGATTTATTTTTGCAACAAGCTTGCAAAGTATTTATTCAGGATCTTTGCTCTCTACTCTTATTTAGGCTTTTAAATGAATAAATTTCAAAGATTTCTTAGTAGTAATAAGTTTCGATGACATGGAAAATCACTGTTGAAAATTTTCAATAACTAATCTTCTTTGAAGTCTTGTAAAGATTAAATCCCTTTTAAGATAGTGGGTTACCCCTCAAATACATAAGCTAAAATGTAAGAGGATCAAATCTAGAATGTATGAATTCTTGCGCTGTAGGTGGATTTACTGAAGAGCGAACAAGCATGGAATTAAAGTTGGAGATGAATTTCTCCATACTGAATGTGTTGAGTTCATGTTTACTGCAATTTGGTTGTTATACATAATTTTAATTTCATTTAAAGAATCATCGTCTAAATTATTGATTTTGCTGCATATTTTCTTTTCTTGTCTTCAAACAAATCTGGAATTTGAGCATAAAATGTTTGCATAAATTCTCTCCAGATTAAACTGTATAGTGGCCTTGTGCAGCTTCTGGTCCAGCTGCACCTAGTTTGCCCCAAGAAGGGATTAGAGAAGTTGAGTCTACAGTAACTTAGTGATCTTGCAGCTTATCGTCTCTGCAGAAAGTGCAGAGAGAGCCGAGGAGCCGCATTCACGGTAAATAGACTCCGTGCCCAAAGAAGAAGTCGAATCTATCATAATTAGTGATGTTGCTCCCTATCGTCCCAGCCGAAAGTGCCTAGGAGCTTCACTCACAAAAAACAGATTCTGTGCCCAAAGAAGGGATTAGAATTGACTCAAAAGTAGCTTTAGCTCTGCAGAAAGTAACGTAAAGTACTCACGGAGTATAAAATTAGAGATGTTTATTCGTACCGTAAAATAGACTCTCTAAAGTCTTCCATTCACAAGGGGTATATTTGTTGGTACTTTTGTGTTGCTTTCAAAACGGTAGCTGGGGAACCTGTATAAATAGAGGTTTAAGCGTCCCCTGCTTTGTGCAACACCGCAAACAGATATCATGGGAACTCACACCTTCAACAAGGGAACCTCCCTTGTATTCCTTGTCTTGTTTGCTTCTTTACATTCTTCACTTCCCCTTGCTTCTGCCTCTAGTGAAGAAGCAAATGCTATTCTCAAATGGAAATCCAGCCTCCAAAATAAAAGTCAGTCTGTACTATCTTCGTGGACTCTGCTTCCGCACAATGCAACCAACTCCAAACCAAGGACCGGCCCCTGCACCTGGTTTGGAATTTCTTGCAATGCCCATGGAAGTGTTGCTAGAATGAATCTTAGTGTTTCTGGTATATCAGGTACGCTTGATGAATTTCCTTTTATGTCTCTCCCTAATCTCACACATGTTGATTTCTGTATCAACAATCTTTCTGGGGTTATTCCACCTCAAATTAGTTACCTTTCCAAGCTTGTCTATCTTGATTTTTCCACCAATCAGTTTTTTGGGACAATCCCACCAGAAATTGGCCTGCTACAGCATCTTGAGATCCTCCACCTTGCTAAGAATCATTTCAACGGCTCATTTCCTCAAGAAATAGGTCACCTGAAGTCTCTTAAGGAGCTTGATATGTACACCAACAACTTAGAGGGTCCCATACCTGCATCTCTAGGCAACTTGACCAATCTGGCTTGGTTATCTCTCTC